GTTATACAAAATTCTGTATCTAAAATTCTGCATCACTGAAATTCAAGCACCAGAATCACATGTCCAGGTGAAAAATTATTAATTATTGACTATTTATTTGCATTTGCAAATCGGATTTCTTAAGTTCTTTAATGATTCTATTATATGTAAAGAAAATTTGATACTCACCAATCTTTATGATAAGGATGAATCTAATGGCCCGTAAAAAATCCTCCCGTTGGATTCGAAAAGAATCAAGAAAGGTGCAAACTCACTAGATGCTGCTCTTGGTGGTGTTCATTCTAAATACAAAGCCATGAAGGTAGCTTTCATCTTGAATTTCTTCTAATTTATTTAGCCAGGTATCTGCGCACAATCGGAAATATGACTTTTCAACTGGTAGAAAACATACCGATTTATACCGTGACAGGCGAAAATTAATATAAAGCTCATAGAAAAAAAAATGGATTATATCCGACCACTATTTCGTGGAAAACTGGCAAGCTGCTAAGTTAAGCGTAATTTTTGAGGGACTCTAATTTCAATAGTATAATTTAAATTTGTAATAATAAAAACTTTAAATTGCATAAAATTAGATAGAAAAAATTCCACAATAACTATTATGTTTTGTTAAATTGCTTTGCGCTATGAATGTCAGACTAATATCTCTAACAAGTCATCGATTCGTTCGTTTAAGCCTTAAAATCGGATGTTTACCTTTTTACAGAACATCTGGTAGAACTTAATTTCCTTTTCTCTGCCAAGTCTTTCCATCCACCTTTCCATATGAGACAAAATAAGATTCTGCGAAACTATTTTTAGAGCCCTTATGGCCGAGTGTCTAGCTCTCGGAGCCACACGTTTCGAGTTCGAGTCCCGAGTTAACTATATGCCTCAGTCTAATTTGACTGCAGAGCATTAAGCTTAGGGCTGATAACCCTACCCAGTAAAAAAAAACATCTCCTGTCTCGAAATCTGCGAGTAGGCAGCCGGTTTGTCTTACCATGGGGTTATTGCTCTAATGAAGGAAAATAAATCCTTTTTTAACTTATCACTTACCTGAACATGCATAAAATATTTAAACAAAACTGATAAGAATCTGAAAAACTGGGGGGAAAAAACGCCTTCAAAACTGAAATGTTTCCAAGTCCATTTTTGCCTTTTATTTCTTATAGATATCCGTCAAATGGAAGTTGTGCAGGGGCGCAGTATCAATCTCGCCCTGTCTGTGCGGGGCCGCTCCGCCCTTGCTCTAGCAGGACTGGAGGAAGAGGTCATCAACAAGCATGGCATTCCGATGAGGGGTCGAATGCTGCATGATTTTGATGGGCGGAAAACTTTCGTCCCTTACGATAAAGATGGGAAAGTAAGTAGAACACGCAGCAAACTAATCAGGTGACTGAATTGATTTTCTGTGCCAAAAACAAATTTTATTGAAGATTCGAAATTTCAAATGCTGACAGTTGATTCTCTCATTGTTTATTTCATAGTTATTATTATGTAAATAATTTTAAAGTATTTTTTGTTCTAATTATTAAAATGTGTTTTTTACACAAATAACTTAAAAGTGTTTTGAAAGCATTTATATTGTATTTTCATGCCAATGAAATGGCAATGATGATAATGTCCGCTATATAATTTAAGGTGGATTTCCACTGGTTACTAAAATCTCCCATTGTACAAAGTCAGCCATTTGGGGGCCTTAGTATGCAGGAAATCAGACTTCCTATTGACTGTTCTTCTAAAACGTGAGATTTTTTTTGTATCCAGTGGAAATCCACCTCTAGATTCGTCTTAGAAAAAGGGATATCATTGCTCCAAAGAAGTAAAAATTCTTGTTGTCATCGCAATTTGAAACAATCACCTTTTTAAGAGTAACATATCGGAGAATCACATCAATCATCCTCTTACCTGGATGGGTGACTTGCTGATATACAAATTTATCATGCCCGTCACTGGCATGGTGTAATACGTGATACTTTTTATGGATTATTTAATAATCTTTAAGCTGAGGTCCCTCGTCTAGGTCTTATTTTTATGTGCATGAACTAGTCACTTTGTTGTGAAAGTATGTGTAACATCGGTTCGTATGGAAGCATTGAAGATTGGAGCGTCATGTTTTCCTCTTATGTTTGAAATTTTAATAACTTCAAAACTGTACATTATTTGAAAATCTAAGTGTATCGTCATGTATAGGAAGGTTGAAAAATTCTAATGGGATAAGGTAGCCAGCGATAAATAGCAGGAAGCATGGGAACTTGCCTGGAATCCGACTCCACGAGCTCAGTTTACATTGTAATACCTCGCGATCCGGAAGTGTTAGGAAGTAATAAGGGATCATTTGAAAAGTCTCGGCTAGGCCAAACTAAATATAACGATAAATTCCACCATAAAATAAAATTTATACTGTAAAATATAAAAATCAGTAAAAGTTTTGGTGAAATTTTAGAATGTATAGTATGTATATATGCAACGAAAGTAGAAGCGTATGGCAGAAAGTTAAGGGACTCAAGACGAATCCAAAAAGCTCCAAAAAGTCATATGCAGATAGACAACGTGATTACAGGACTCAAGGTCGAAATGAGCCGATTGTCACCAATGAATACACAACCCTTGGAAATATCATCATCGATTACACCTTTACCAGAAAACTCAGTGACTTGCAATGTAAACTTTATGTAACCTAAGTCAGTTAACATGAGCCCATTGTGAATACGTCAAAATTACAACATTCTTCTTTTTTTCTTCTATTAATGTCTGGCACCATTGATTCATTCTTTTGTTTCCTTATTTCATTCACTATCCTCATAACTTCTTCAAATTTGTTTCCAGAGAGCCTTCACACATTAAGATGGCGGTATAGACCAGAGTAATATGCCTCTTTCACTGTTTTTTTAATAGTATTTAATATCATAGTTGAAGCTCCTGAATACCAAAGCCTTAAATATTTTGATAACATCAAAATGCATTATCGTTTGTCGTAACATTAAATTAATGGAGTTTTCCTATTGGCATGCTTGTATCACATGACTCGCAGTGTGTAGCTCTAGTAGCGATCGTAGTAATATACAAGAATTCAATTGCAGCTGATGATATGTATTGCAGTCACCATTTTAAGAAAATCCTGTGGAATGGTAACATTAAGTTTTGCATTGATTCGGAGTGTCTTGTGGAAGTTTTAAAGGTTTCTTTGAGAACCACACCCAAATGCAAACCGTTAACTTGAAGTGTCCTCATAGAAAGCCTCATTTATCAATCAGGATCAACATCAGGGTTAGATTTTGTAATACATATAATCGATAATCAAATATGGTCCGACCAATTATCGTGTGAAAAAGGATCAAACAGCCAAGCCAGGCGAATTCAACAATTATACTATTTTTACAGATATGATTATTGTACAGATTAATTAATCATTTATTAAGATTCAATTTGGTTTTTACTATAATTAATATGAATAAAAATCTCATTAGCTAACGAGAAACAAACATTACCATATAAAAACTCGAAATATACTAATTTTATAAATAAAGTATGTCATTGCCAATATCATTTATATAAAATAGGTTCTCAACTTTCGTTAGCCATTAATCAACTAATTAATGCTTACATAAACTTCGATGAAGAAACATAATAAACTCGTTTAAAACAAATCTCAATTGAAAAAAAAAATCGGGATCAAGGAATTACGAGTATCAAGATTTGTTTAATAAAGTAATTAGTCAAATATTAAGAATTAAAAGATAGCATTACTTTGATCGTGATTGCGCAACAACTCAGCTTTAAGATCAAATCTTATTAAAACAACAAATATTTTTAGAGCTGGACAGCAAATGTTCAAGGTTTATTTGGGAGGAGAAAAAAAAATTCCTAATCGCAAACATTATCACGCCTGGATAATTGCAAACTTGCTCATGACATGACTTGTTTTACGATTACTTCTTGCATTATTCAGTGAAGGAATGTGTCAGAATTCTTATACAATTATATAAGAAAACTGAACAAATTGGTATTCGTTGAGGAAACTATTATAATTGAACATGAATAACATGCTATCTGTACATTGTTTAGTATTAATTAATTTCGAATTTAATATTAGCACATAAAAGTGGATAAATTTTTCAATGATTATTTTTAAATAATTTAATTTACTGCATACCATATACCAATATAATACATATGTTTAACATACATATACCAATATATACATACGTTGGGCATACAAATATACCAATATATACATATGTTTGCTATACCATATACCAATATATGCATATATTTGACATACCATAAACCAATATATAAATACGTTGGACGTACCATATGCCAATCAAATTCTATTTTTATACTTATGGAATAAAACTTTTCAGTTTTAAAGAGTGTTTTTAATTCCATAATTATGTATACAAAATAATAATAATTTAAGATAGCGGAAATTGAAAAAAAGATGTGAACTTAAGATAACTATGGGGAGAACGAAAGATACAACATTTTTCCAACGATTTGTAGTCATATTTGACAAGAAAATGAAAATTGTTATCGAATGCCAGTTAATTAAGCATTAATTTTACTTTTTACTTTTTTTTTTTTTTTTTTTAGTTTTTAATTTTTATTTGTAATTTCACACCATGGCTTTTTCATCCACTAGCACTCACCGATGTAGGAAGCTCATCGCCTTTGCATTTTACTAACATGTTTTGAAATTACAGATTTCATTCATCGTGTTGTTTGTTTGTTGTTTCTTATCCCACTTGGCTGGCCAAGCCCACGAGCCCATATGTACTCATGATTGAAGGGGAAGGAAGCAGCTTCTGTTGTGATGGAGCACCCCCGTAGGTAGAAGTCTGACTTTGGCTCCGTGACGCTCTTACAGTCATAGGAGACCGGGACCTACAGCTTAAAGTGTATTCCGAACCACTACAAACATCCATGGCACCGCCGGGATTCGAACCCGAAACCTGTGGCACCGAGCGCCAGAGCGCTAGACACTCGGCCATTCAGGTCCCAAATTTGTGAATGCCAACGGCACGCAGTGTTCCCAGGTGGTCATCCACCCAAGTACTGACCGCGCCCAATGATGCTTGACTTCGGTGATCTATTCATCGTCCACAACAGTTACGTTTCTTTTTTTGTGTTTAGAAGATAATTTATTTTCCGGCCATACAAAGTTTTAACAACTTTTATTGACAAAAAAACATCTAAGGAGGAGGGATGTTTTATAAAATTTAATTCTATGAAATTTTGAAAAAGATAATTTCCACTTATTGTAAGCTGATGTTCATAATCCGCATCTCAAAATATTTGAAGTTCTTTTTAGCGTATGATTCACGCATTATAGGCATGAAATTACAGTACTTTAATACCGTATGATCCGAAAGTCGATATTGCGGTGATTTTACTAATATTTTTTTTAATAAATGCAAGCACATTATTATAACTGCATGTAGACATTTAATTCATGTTTCATAGATATGCTACATGCACCATTCACATCCGTAATTTCAATATCGCTTATGTGTGTATAAAAAAGGCGCCATTTTCCATCATATACCTATCGTTTGAGGAAAGGTGTTTTATCGTTGAATGTAATTTAAAAATTTCGTCTGACGCTACGGTATGCATTAAGTTCAGAATGAAAATCATAACAAGAAATATATCAACTAAGAAGACGATACAAAATTTAGCGAAACTGCTTGGCGTCGATTTGGTTTGTAGCTCTACGGTCATTTGTTGCACATTTTAGGCTAATTAGACCGGAATCTACTGTTTAACGTGGATTCCGAACCACTAACGAACAACCATGCCACTGCCAGAATTCGAACCTGAAGCCTGTGCTATCAAAGGCCAGAGCGCTAGTCAATTGGCCATCAGGCCTTAGGATAGGCATCGAAGTGGTTGGCTTAAAGTGGAAAAAAGTATTGCACCATTATCATCGAATTTTGCAATATAGGCAAGCTTTTATAGGCTAGTTTTTTCTAGGATTCCATATTCTAAAACATAAACTGAAATATAAAACAAGTATGTACTTTCATTTTTAATGAAGTTAGTAGTAAATTCCAGAGTATATCGACTTTCAGATCATATATAAAATACCAAATACTTACTACAGGCGAAAGTAAAATGAATGCTTAGCATTTCCGTTTCATTTTACCTCCGTTATCATCGAATTTTACAATATAGGCAAATTTATAGCTCGTTTCCTGTAACCTGTTGAAATAAAAATATGTATAGATCGGCTGAAATGTTTAATATTATTTCTATTATATTTATTGTTTCTATTTTTTTCAGTACTACAAGCCCATTAATTATTTTTTTATTATTTTATTTTCAATAGTGTATATATTCAGTAGGAAGAAGGTTTTTAAATGAGGCATTATTAACAGGTAAAATTGTTATTCAGCATTTTAATAAACGATTATTCATTAAATATATAATTATGTTTACAAAAAATTATTTTTTTTATCTCTAGCTGCTGAGAAGAACTCAAATGTAGAAATATTTTTCAAAAACAAATTTTTGGATTACAACTTCAAAAAAGGTCAATTCAAAGTCTTGGGGTAAGTATACCATATGAAATTCATGCATTTTATCATATTTGTAATATCATAAATTTTTGGTTTATTATAAATTAGGAGAAATTATACAATACTATTTATTACTACTAGTTTACTTATTTTGCAGTTTATCAACCAATCAGCTGTTGGTAAAATTGAGGTAAATCTTAAAGCTTAATAAGTTGCAAATAGCAAAAGATGAAACAAATCGCAAAATAATGTATTAAATTAAGAAAGAATATTCAGTAAATTTTTTTTTTTTTTTAATTTTATTTTAAATTACAATTCATCTTTTAACGATATATTTCATTGGAAGTTCTTGATTGTACATTTTGTAATTAATGTAATAGATTTATTTATAACAATAAATAAATAATAATGTTATTTAACCGACTATTTTTCCTTGCGTATGGAGATATTAAAATTCTTAAAATTATACCTTGATATTTTATTTCCCAAGAAAACTAAAATGATTAATGCATGTGGTTAATTTCTCTCACTACGTATTAATAAGCTAACGAATACCATTATAGCGGTAATAGAACACGCTATGCATATATTGGAAATGCATATATTGAAACAACGTGATAACACAAAACTTTACGATGCCGTTCAATTTAATGGGTTACAAACGTCATACTCATTATATTCATTCATTTATTCATTATATTCATTCATTTATTCATTATATTCATTCATTTATTCATTATATTCATTCATTCATTATTCATTCTCATTATATTCATTCATTCATTATTCATTCTCAATATATTCATTCATTCTCAATATATTCATCCATTCATTATTCATTCTCGTTATATTCATAAAATTCTCTATTTTACGGAGAAAGGAATTGTTCTATATATCTTTTATAGTAGTAGCTGGTCACCACGAATAGATTTGGCCAACAATGAAAAAGTATTTTTCATAATTCGGAGTCTCATTTATACTTTTTTTTGTATGCTGATCCAAAAAGGACTATTAAATCCTCACGGAAAGCACAAGCTTAAAAAAAGTGTGTTTATTCTATACACGTATACATCAAAACGTTTTAATGGAAACATCAAGATTCCTAACAACTTGTGTAAATGAAAAATTCTTCAGAATATTTGACGGTGTTACCAATGTTTTTCGACCCTGAATAGCTACAAATAAGCCGATCAAGGACACAGACATTTTCTAGATGGCACTAATATAAATTGTAAGACTGGCTTTCGTCATTATCTTCTCTGTTTGATTTTTCATTTTCATTTGCTTTGTGATAAGTACAATGGCTAATAGTGGCTTTGTTGACAGTCTGATAGCTTTTTTTTTATATTTGGGGCTAATTTGTTGTCAAGAAACAACTAAAAGAACAAACGGAATTTGTAAGAAAAATGTACTTTGACTACTTTGGAAAATTCTTGGAGACCAACAAAAGCATCGGGCGCTATACAAGATATGTTACGGTTTTTAGTTGATTTAATGAAACGGCTCTTCTTCTTTTTTACTAGCATTACAGCCTTGTACATGCTTGAGCCTCCAACGCAACAGGTCTCCATCTGTCTCGCTCCAATGTTATAATTTTCAGTTAATAATTTTCAGTTATCTAAGATCCTTTCGACACTATCCATTCACCTTTCCCTTGGTCTTCCTATCTTTCTATTGCGGAACAATTTACATAGCATAATCCTTTTATTGATGTTTCCCTCATCTCTGCGATGTATTGTCCAAGCCTGCGGATTTTTTGTGATTTAATGTATCTCACAATTAGGTGTTCAATTTCTTTGTTTGGTCTTCTAATCCATGTATTATTGTCAACTCTTTGTCCAAAAAATTTTCTCAAAATTTCTCTCTCAAAGGCCTTGATGTAACCCAAGTTCTTAGCGTTTAATGTCCACGTTCCTCCAGCATACGTGATAATCGGCCTTATTAGAGACTTATAAATCAAAAGTTTTGTTTTTCGTGAAATAAATCTGTTGTTATACAACTTTTTATTTGGGTAAAATGCAATAAAATTGTTGCAAGAGGGAAAAATTCTTTTAATAGTCCAATGGTAGGAGCATACTATGGCATGCAAAGGTTTTTCTATAGTATACAAGAACATTACATATATGAGTTTAGTATACCTTTACAAATATGACTCCCGCCATTGCATATTAAACTAAAAATGAATCATTCTCTTCACAGCAAAAAGTGAACTAATTTGTAAAAGCAATCTGAAAAGTGGAACTTCATTTTCTGTATCTAGGCAAAACATTCTCTCGTTTGTCAAAAGTAAAACAGAAATAATGTGATTTTAATGGCTCTAAAATACGGAAATGGATGAAATATCCCAACTCAAACTGCATTGAACGTCATAAAAAAAGATGCTTGGACTATTCTTAATTAAATATTTTCATTAATTGTAGCATTTAACTGCATTTTTTAAATAAAATCTGGCCCTTGATTTCTACTTGTACGCTTTTTGTAGTAAAAGTTCAGAAAAATAAATTCCATCTCATTTTGGAATGGGAAGTGTCAGAATACCCAACCCTAATTATGTAATTTTCAAATGACATACCAACGGTAGTCTCAGAAAAACATTTTTATCAAAAAAATGTTGAAAATCCTCAAGTTTTGTTTTTTCTGACTCGATATGTTGGTCTAGGCTAGCTTTTATTTTTTAATTAATTATATTTTTTCCACTAATTTTGTCTCACTTTGGACAATTAAGTATATTACACTTTTATAATTATCGCTGTTAAGGTTCTTTCAACTTTCCGATGGACAATCCAAGATAGAAGCTAACGGCTGCTGCGCAGCCACGGAGCTTCATCCAAACTCAAATCATCAACTATCGCTATTTATTATTAATTTCTTCAATTTTGTAATCTTCATGAATTCGTAGTATTTTCCCCTATCACCACCGCAATGGCTTGGAGATCTTTCTCTAGGCCTAAAAGCATGTTTAAACATTAGATTTGTTCTAAATAAATAGCAAAGAAGGGAACCTGAATTAAAAATCATTCCAGACGCAAGCGAAAGCTGCCTAAATCAATGTAACATCTTCTGATGTACAAATGGTTCAACTCATAACAAATAGCCCATATTAATTCTTTACTAACATTATTTACAAATTTTAATGATTTAAAGCCCTCAACAGCCATTTATCAAAATAAATATGACTGAACAATTAGCGTCAACACTCCATAATGAAAGAACTGGATAATTGCAAATACCTCCATGCCGATAGACATTTTCCCTGAACTCACCTTTATTGTGTACTTTTTTTTCTTCATAAAATATGTTTCTTCTTAGTACCATATTCATATTATACTTCCGATGGATGGCGGGATCAGTAGAATCGTCGCTTTTATCCTGTATTTTTGTTTTTTGCTGGCCTTGATTCCTAATGTTCAGCTCTGAGATCGTAGGAAAGGTGAATGAAAATAGGTGAAAGTCGGGTCATACCTATGGTTTCAGTTGTTAATGGTTTGAAAACAACAACAGCAGCATATGCTCAAACTTTTTCTAATATTATTCATCCACTGTCTCAGAAAAAAGAAATTCAGATTTTTCTTT